CACGTACTTCAAAGGCAGAAGAGAATTAGAGTACATCTAGCAAAATGTATATGATTTTATTCTGCTGTGAAAGCATTTTCCTTTTAATTAAGTAGTTAATCCTGGGTTAATCTAATACATTCTGTTTATATGGCACTGAAAGATTAAGGTCAGAAATCCAGCTGCTCATATTGTCTAAAAAATGCTCACTTTGGGTTGATTTTCTACCCAAAGCAACAATATAAGATCATTTAGGTGCATAAATTTAGCTTGTCATCTATCTATCTTTTTATCTATCTCCCCTTTTCCTGCAAATATAAGCCTCCTTCCCTTCTTTTGGAAAAATATGAATGAGTTAAACAGTGCTAATGTAACTCACAAATATATCTTACAGATTGCAGAACAATGTCTTAATTAATTCAATGGTACTTAATCCCAGATGTGTTCAGATTTTATGACTAGAAGCTTCATTCACTACCATGTTAGAGGTTCAGATGGCTTTATAAAAAATGGATAAGATTTTGATTTCAGCTTTAGGTTCTGAGGCCCTTTCCCTCCCCCTCAACTGGTTTAAATTGCTCACTCTGCTGAAAATGGAATAAAGGTTTTTAAAAACACCTGACCATGATGGATAGAAAAAGACTCCAATAAAGTGATTATATTTGGGATTCTTTCTTTTCTGGCAAAGAAGTGCCTGAGAAAGGCAAGTCAGCACACACATATGATACAAAAAGTCAAAAGAAAGGTTCTCTTTTTTTAAAAAAAGAAGAAAGATAATTCTAAACTATTAGGACACCAGTACCATAGAGCAACTGGGTGGAATAATTATGAGAGAAACCTTCTAATGTTCTATGCAGTTCTACAAAAAAAACAAACAAACAAAACTAGTCAGCTGCTAAACACATTATACAAGCAACTGACTAATGACCTTATCACAGAGCAATTGACCAATGACCTTATCACAAAGACTGCAATAATTGCCACAGATCATGGTGAATCTGGAGGGACCCATCAAGGGGTGTGGGTAACCCATCACCTCACATCACCTGATTCACCTGAGTCCCCATCCCATGCAGGGAAGCATTGACTGCCAGGTGTAACATGGGAAGCCTTGTGTTGCCACCATGGCGGCATATGTTGGTTTCACTATAGTTTACACATGGAGCCCTTTCAGAAGTTTCTCAACTCCATGGGGTGGGAGCCAGTGGGCTCTATGGGTAAACTATAGCTGAACTGGCTTATGCTGTTGAAATAAGCCCTATCTGATGAAACCATTAGGACAATTGGATTCGGGGTTAGTGGCTGATGTAGACATGTCCTAACACTACTTGCACAAAACAGGATTGAGAAGACTGATGTAATAATACTATATAAAAGCTCACTGTAGAATTTCTACTTCCCAAAAACACTGAAAAGAGTGTGTGAAATTATTTTGATCCTATACACTGCTTATCTCAATAGCTCCAAGGTCTCCAGTCAGAAGTGTGAACTCCAAGATCTGAACTCTATGATTTCCCCATTGAAACAGAACATTCCAATCACTGCTCCACATCGGTTCAGCCATATTATGTGTCATCAGCAATATATCAATTTCAAACATTACTCCCACATAAGACCCTTATCTTACTGCCTTAACTGTTTTGCCTTTCATTTTCTTTTTTTAGTAATATAAACTGTGCAAAGGAAACCATGAAGGATCTGATCATGCTTTCTTCTGTATCTAGAGACTCCTATCAAAATAATCTTCCTCTGAAACTAAATCACTCTTCAATTCTTCCTACTTACTGTTCAAAGGAAAATCTTTTCAATTCTTTTGAATCTTCTCCTGTCATTCCTAATTTCCCTTCTGCATTTGAGCTAGGACAATCAGGACAGCCTGCAACATTCAAGGTCTAAGGGCATTAACATCGATTTATGTAACAACAGCAAACGATTTCCAGTATTATTTTCAATCCCATTCTTCATACTACATTCACTTTGTTTTGACTGCTGCTGCAGACTGAGTACATGTCTCCATTGAACTCTGCACAAATGATGCCCAGATCTAAGCAGTTACAGGTTAATTTATAACAATCTAGTCCTGTACATGAGTAGTTCAATTTCTTCCTTCCAACACACATTACCTTGCATTTGTCAGCATTGATTCTGATCTGTCAAGGTGCTGCCAGGTTGCTTGGCTTTATTAGTTCCCTTGGCACTACTTCAACTATCCAGGATAATTTGTATCATCTGCTGATTTGCTATGGCACTCCTCTCTTCACAATGTGTTTTTAGAAAAGCAGCTCAGTAATAGGAAATAACCCACTGTTAGGACAAAGTGTTTCTGAATATATACAGTGATTTCTTCCCCTCATGTCCATGTCTCACTCTCTGAGTATCACAAGGTGAAGGAAGTGGGATGGTAAAAAGGAAAAGGAAAAGAAAAAGGCAGCAGCTTTGAGACTGATTTTTATTTTCACATGAGCTTTCATGGATAAAAACCTTTTTTTTTCGAATGTAGATGTATTGCATCCGAAAGGCTAGAGGAATTGAAAGGGGCCATAACAGTCAATATAAGAGCACAGGAAACAGTCTCAGAAGCCTGACTAGTCATCCTCATAGTGTTCTCATACAAGATGACTTTCACTCTCAAAATCCTATTACAATGCAGCTGTGGTGTAACAATGATACAGTGAGAGTAAGTGTCCACAATATGTCCTACTCTTCATAGAGGAGATAGTTACAGTGGCGGTGCCTTTCAGGAATCTTCAATGCACAGGATACACACTTGTTGAATGAAGTTGGTGGGTCATAAGCTCTGAAGGGCAGGAGCAACCTACACCACACTACTGAACCGAACTGAAATCCAAGGCTATTAAATTAAGTTCTAGTCCAAGTCAAGGTAAAATCACAGTCCAACTGAACAACAAGCCAAGGGAAATCCAAAACTATAGTCAGGGAACACACAGCTCACTAGTTTTTCTGGAAATAATCTCTTCTGGAATTTTTTTGCCATAAGATCTGAGGTTTAGAATTGCTAGGCCAGGATTATTGTGGGTTCAGACATCTCAGTACTACATTGTGAGACAATGAGATGACCCTGTTATGTTGTTAACAATCAATCACAGTTAAATTGAGTGTGTCATTCAAACCGAAAACACCAAGTTAAAGTAATGAGAACACATATATTGCAATCTATGTTCAATAAATATCACTTGTGACTAGCCTTTTAGGTAAGAAGATGCTTCCTACCATGGAAGGAGATGCGATCGCGGAGATAGGCGGGGCTTGAATTGCTTAGAGCTTTATAGGTCATGACTTCACTTTTTTCTTCTTCCATGGAATGGCTTTAGTTAATTTTCCACTTTCAATACCTTTTGAGTACAAGGTCTTGCAGAGTGTGAAGTGTCTGGGAGACATGTTTTCCTAAACCGGTAAACTCAGGTATTGGTCTTATCAATATACAAACACTTTTAAAGGCAATGAATTCACTTTGAGATTTTCCCCTCTTCTCCCTGGGACAAGGAAAAAGAGGCTAGGACCCTGACATCTAGGAACACTACTTATGTCCCAATCCAAAATGTAACAAAGCCTATATAAAGGTAACAAAATCTATACACATTCAGCACTTGCTCTTTTTATTCCTCTATTCTCACCGTTACATTCTTTATCTAGCAATATAAAAATCTGGATAAACTACCACAGAAAGAAAATTTGTTCTCGTTGTTTTGCTTAGTATAGGAGTGTTATGAATATAATGAGGAATAATGTATTTTGAAGCAATGTTGGAGATTTCATTTATAACAAATAATTAAAACAAGGCTTGTTCCTCTGTATATCTTGTTCAAAACACATTTCAAAATGAACTACTGGTGAAAAAGGGACTGCAAGGGTACAAAAACACCATGGAAGGTACATGTGGCTCACAGACTGCACTGATGGCCCCATTAATGCAGGGCCAGCAAAGGGAAGTCAAGAAAATAAAAGTAAATAATTTGTGTAAGTATAGGTCTAACAACAACAATTCGTGAGGTAGTAATTTCAGAAACAGACATTGGGATATAGCTTTCAGTAGGTTCTGGGAAGAGATTAATGTTTTAACCAATTTTGATACAAATATGGGACAGCAACAATAATTCAGTACTTCTGCTCTGATGTGCAATACAAATTTACAGCATAATTTCCTCTCAAATTCTATTGAGTTCCACCATACTTTCCTCCTAAGTGTTTTTCAAGAATAATTCACCTAATAAGAATGTTATTATTTTCATAATATTGGCTTCTTCAGATCTTGCCTTATTACAGTCATTTAATATATGTGTGGCTGTGAGTGCACAGGCTTAATTGTACACACAGTTTTAAATGTCTTGCATATTATTTTAATGGATCTAGCAGGAAAGAGGGGGAAGGCTCCCAAGCTGGTTAAAATTGAATTACTACATGAATCTTTTGCTGGCAGTATAGAGAGAGAGGTAAGATGGGGCAGAAATTAAATTGGTTGTGATAGTGATGAAAAGTAGCATGAATTTACATTAACAAGGATGTGTCCAAGTACCACTTAGTTCTATCCACTACCATTCACAAACAGAAGAAGACCTGTTTTGCTTCCCTCTCAACTACCCTTCTACAGACGTACAAAAGAGGAATACTTGTACTATGGATGCTAATTCTATTTTATTATTGCATACAGGAGCAAGGAATTTCCAAAATTTTCTTAAGAGAATTTTCAGATGTCAAAGTTTTCAATATTTTTTTTCATTATTTCTTTTCATTAAGGGAATAGGTAAGTTTGTGGGGTTTTTTTTTGCACAAAATGCCATGTACAAAAGTACACAAAACAACTGTTTTGTTATTGCTGCTACTGGTAGGGAAATTGCAAGTATTTCATATAAACAATGGAAACAAGGACCTTCTGCAGTTTTGTCATCTCATTTTGACTTTAAAGTGAACAGCACAAGTGCTTTCATTTATTTTTGTTTGTAAAACAACTGAAAAGTAAAAGTCAAATCATAATACAGAAACATTCACAATTTACATGATACCTTTCATTTTCTTGAAGCAGCTCACCTCCCTTTTTCCAAGTAATCATCGCTCTAGGAGAAGCTTTTGGCTTGCACTCAAAATGAGCTGTGCTGCCCATTAAAAGCTGAAGCAGTTTCTTCATTGGATTTTTAGAGAAGTCAGGAGCAGATGCTAGAAGAAGAAAAATGCATTATTAAGTATAAAGCACATTTTCTCCATCACGTTGTCAGCAGACTCCACAATTCTTGTTCACCCCCTCCCTTCTTTTAAGTATTGAAGAATTTGAAAGTGACACCCAAGCTCAGAAAATGCAGTATTGAGCAGAATCTGTACATTAAAATGCCTCTTAATTGAACTGGAATAAAGCACATGCTACACTGATTGAACATAATGAGAACAGCACTGGATCAGACAAACAGTCTGGCTAAGTCCAGTATCCTGTTACTCATGTAAATAGACCTTTAATTTAATTTGGGACTCAGGTTTACTAGCTAATCTAGCTTTAAATGAGTTGTACAAATGTATTAAGTGTTGCAAAATGAGGAATTGAATTCAGCACAGAAAGTTGTCAAATTGATAGCCATGTAGTAAATGTTCAATCTAACAATTTTGTTTAGACTTGGTTGCTTTGAGTTTTCTGGGCTGTATGGCCATGTTCCAGGAGCATTGTCTCCTGACATTTAGCCAGCATCTATGGCAGACACCCTCAGAGGTTGTGACCTCACAACGTCTGAGGATATCTGCCATAGATGCATGTGAAACATTAGGAGGGAATGCTTCTGGAACATGGCCATACAGCCTGGACAACTCACAACAACTTAGTGATTCCAGCCATGAAAGCCTTTGACAATACTTTGTTTAGTCTTCCACCTATAGCCCTGCTTCAGTTGCAATACTGTATTTTAAATAGAAAAAGGGAAGAAGTTACTTACAGTAGAGTAATAGAACCTTGCCTTCCTTTGATACAAAGTAGCCAATGTGTTAACCAAAAAGGCACATGGGTGTAGTTTTTCTGGATCACTGGAAAAGTTCACTGGATTGCTCATACTCCACAGCACAAATGGGACAGTATTAACCAACTAAAATTAATGGCGAAGAGTAGAGGTCTCTAGAGGTGTTCATATAAGCGGTTATTTAATGTAGGGTGCATCTACACTGTAGAATTTAGGTAATTTGACTCCACTTTAATTGCCATGGCTCAGTGCCATGGAATCATGGGATTTGTAGTTTGGTGAAGCACCAGCTCTCTTTTACTGAGAAGGCTACAGAACTTGTAAAAGTACAGCTCCTATGATTCCATAGCATTGAGTCATGATACTTAAAGTGGTTTTGAAATGTATTAATTCTACTGTTTATATGTACCTGTTATTGGCACCTCTGTGATTCTTATGAACAGGTGGCAGTACATGGCTTTAAAAACACAGTTAAAACTGCACAAGTTAATCTTGGAGTTTCTTTCACTTGCCTTATCAATGCAAAAGGATGCTTGTCATTTGAATTCTCCAGGAGCTCTGCCAGTTCAGCACTCTGCTCTGATAAGTGTCTGTCATTTGTTTCCAAAAGCACGCTGGCATCACCTCTTTGACTAAATTATTGGCCCTGTGTCCACAATCAAAGACGAGGGCACAGGAAGCCATCTTATTCCTTTTAAATGACATTGCTCTCCCAGGAATACCAGGGCTGAGATACAGAAGGTCAGAGCTACTGAGTAATGTGCTGAGCCAATGTTGTTTCCAGATCGTGTGATTAGTTTTAATCTCTGGGCCTGTATCCAAGCCTTTGTCTCTCTTTGCCCCCTAATTAATAATTTATCCTGTGTCCTTGTTTTAAAGCTGTGAGCAATTGGGCAGTAAAATACAGGAGGCTACTATTGCTTCTTCTTCCCCACCCTCCACCAGGTGAATAAACCATTCAGTAATGCAGGTAAAATTGCTTGCTATTGTATTTTTAAATTTATTTTTATTTTTTAAAGATATTATTAATAAAAATAATACAGGAGCTAAAAGAATAGGAAACATTGATTCAACAACATCAACTGCAATGGTAAGATGGACTGGAAAATGTAGACTTACCTACAACTCTGAGATCAGCACTGGAATATATAGTGCCATGTTTGTTTTCTGCTACACACTGGTATATGCCAGAATCTGTCAAGTTTAGATTTGTTATGATCAAAGCCCCGTTTTCAATTTGTATTCTTCCCTGGACAGTAAGAGCAAAAGTTACAAAAATACACACCTTTCAAATAACTGAAACTTCGACAGCAGATGATATTTTGCCTGAAGAGCTATACACTATACCTTTATCAAATCTCAAGAGTTTAAACACAGCTTAACTGATGCTTATGTCAGTTGTGGAGTTTTTGGCACGCTTTGGCCAAACTGTATAATGTAATAATAATGGGTTTTATAAGATACCAAGCTTAAATTGCTATCCAGCTGATATAAGCCTCCAACTAGAACACCAGCTTTGAAAATCCTTTTTCAAATTCTGAGAAAATTGAGTTAGATCTGATTGTCAATGTGGTTTATGTCTAACAATCCTGGGATCATCTCACTTTAATTTTGCTGCTTAAAAGCATCAGTACTTGTACAAAATATTTTCACAGGGAGGAAAAATTACATTTGGTTCCTCAAAACGAAATTAATAACATAACTTCTGAGACTGCATGTGGCCTATTCCAAGTTAATGTAGGCAGCAAAGAAATCATTTCTTCTGCAAAGAACTGCCCAGCGGAGCTGTTTTGGGTTGTTAGAAGATTATTACACACTGGTCCTCAAGGGGAAAACTCTGACCACTCAACGGTCCACTGTGAAGAGTTTGACAGCTCTTTTTTTTTTAAAGAGTCACTCAGATTTGTTCCAACTTAGATGCTGTAGTTCAGGCCTTTTCAACCTGCAACCCTCCAGGTGTTTTTGACATCAGCTGCTAGAATTCCTGAAGATGTCTAGGGCTTCTGGAAGTTGGAGGCACAAATACCTGGAGGACCACAGGTTGATGAGGCCTGCTGTAGTCATACAATGCCAGTAGATGTAACTGGACCTAACAGTGGACGTTCACCCCGCTCCCCAGATTTGTACTGCTGACCTTTTGGTCAGCAAGTTCAGCTGCTCAGTGTTTTAACTCACTGAGCCACCGGGGGCTCCCAGATCTCTCTATAGCAACTGCTATATCCCAAATAGAAAACTTTGCATGAAATGTAGATTATGTACTGTTGCAATTAGCAAAAGACTGTTATTTTACATTTATCACAATCATTACAATCATCACCATTATCATCTTTATTTACATGTCAACCTTTTCCCCAAACCTGGGACTTGAGGCAATTAAAACAAACACATCCATAGAAAAATCACATAAAATGTTTGTTCATAATCTATTTAATTTATCAGTAACTTAAATATACTTAACAAGATGTCATTAAAAGTGATAAAAAAGCAGTTTAAAGTAAGTAAAAATAAAAGAAGTACTCTATTAAAAAGCCTTGAAATCTGAAAAAATAATGGGAAAAAGGTCTCCTGATGGATGATAGTAAGGCGGGCCACAGCCAGGCCTTGCTAAGAAGGAAATTCTACACTACAAATATTACAAATATTATGACAAATGTAAATATTATTGAAGTTGAATATTATTTTTTTAATGCTCAGAAAAGGATGCTTTAAAAAACTAGTCTTTGCTTTTAATATTGTACCGGCTTTGAATTATTATAAGATGAATACAGAATTTTGGATATATTTACAAAATATAAGGATGTGAATGTTAAAAGCACCAGAAAGAAATTACTATGTAATGAAGCAACTACTGAGCATTTGGTCACCTAACTATAAACATAGGACAAAATGAGAATCTAGCTGAGACAGAGTGAGAAAAAAAAACCCCAGAAATTTGACTAGGTTCATCTAATTAGTAGAACCACCTAGATCATGCTTGGTGGCAAGTACTCCGTCCCCAAAGACCAATTAAAGTCTTATCTTTCAGGCGGCCAGTGAAAAGACTAAGGAAAAGCTTCTCTGTTTGGATGAGTAGTAGCCTTGAACAAAGACCAGTAAAACTTCGCTCTAATTGGCTAATAACAAAAGATCTGTCAAAACCTCTTTCTACTTGGCTGGCAGCAAAACACCAGTGAAAGTTACTCCTGATAGGCAGAGATGAACAGATGGCTGGAGTTTGAGACAGTATAAAAATGGATTCAGATAAGAGGGAGATAGAGGCCTTAAACCTAGAAGAAGAAGGGAAAGGGAGAATGAAAGCAGCTTGCTTTCTTGTAAATGCTTGTAATAGACCGCACCCATAGCTATTTTTAAGAACTGCTGGCTATGCTGTTCCCAAGATGTACCAAATATAATCCCTGTGATAGTCTGGCTATTACACAAAAGCTTCTTTTCAGAAATATAAACACATGGCTCTGTTTTATGCAGAGATAGCAATGGAAATGGGAAGATGTTTGTTTGGGATATTTAGAATTTGGCCCCCTTTACACTGCCATATAAAATCCAGATTATCTGCTTTGGACTGGATTATATGGCAGTGTAGACTCATATAATCCAATTCAAAGCAATAATGTGGATTACCTGATTTGATAATCTGGATTATATGGGAGTGTAGAAGGGGCCTTCCTCAAAAGATGATTATCTTCAATTAAAGTTTTGTGTAAGATGTTTGATTCTTTATCAATAATACAATATCAATAGATTGAAAAGTCTATGTTCTCCCCCAAGAAGGATGTACTTATGTATGTCATGGATCTGGAAATGCAAACAAATTGCCAAACAGCTTACAAAGGCACGTGTTTATTTCCCCATGTCAAATATTCTGAAATTCCAATGCTAGGGTTACTTCAGGGAGATATTGACATTGTGTCTGTCTGTTAGGACAAAGCCATTATTCACAAATTTGGAAGTTTAGGTAAGCAACCTGGTAGACTGGGGAACATTCTCTCTAATATCTAAGCTTTTGAGCACATTCATTAGCCTTGACTACAAGAGCGGGTTCATTTGTCTTATCTATTTCAGATCATGATTCTCACTTGGGAACTTCAAAAATCATTTCAAAGCTATAGAAGGATTTGTCATTATGGGATATAGATAAATGAGGGAACAGACAAACAGTAACAGATGCTGACTCAGCATGGAAGGGAAATATATTCAGTAAAAATTGTAGTGAACATTTTTCTTCTGAAAGAATGCAGGCCAAGGAGTTACCTGAAAATGTCATAATGGTACTTAAAATTCATAGTTCATAATGAGTTGAGAACACCAGCCTTTAAAAATAAATGTACAAATCTCTTGTCTTGGTTAATACATAGATATAGGGTAGTATGAAATTAACTTTATGATTTATAACTTTTTGTACCACTTCAATAATAATAATAATAATAATAATAATAATAATAATAATAATAATAAAAACAAATAATAAATGTGCAATCTTTTATATATAGTTTCAAATTTTACAAAATTGCTGAAATAATAGGGGTGTTACTCCTCATAACTTGTACCAAATTTGTTAAACTTGAGCATACAAATCAATATTAGAAACGTGCAGGAAAGGGTTTTCTGGGAAGGGGGGGGGAGGAGGCAATTTGAGAATTGAAACACTCACCAATAATTTTTGTTAAGATTCTGTAATTTTTAGATGCCTCCCAAGGTCAGTTTAATTTTTAGTATAAGCATTAAGCAACTTTAGTAAAGTTGAGATGACATTAAGTGCTTTTAAAACCAAGGCTGTTTTTGTTTTGTTTTTTGGCTCAGTCACCATAAGGAAAGACAGCTGGGGGTGGGACTAGTAGAGCTGGATGGGAGACTGAGAAGACATCATTCTTGGAAATGTATTTGTACGGTACCCAGTGGCAGAGAATGCAAAAGGACATGCCCTAAACTACATTTCCCAGAATGCAGTGCTGCAATGAGGACTAAAGTAAGTAAATAATAGCATAAATCTGTGCTAAGTTGAAGTTATGAGGTTAACTATGTGTCATATAGACAGACAGACATTCAAGGGAATTGCTGTTGTCGCTTTTTTGGAGGAGAAACTGTTTTTGTCTAAACTTTTAAAAATCCGTAGATGTGTGAATCTTTCTGAAACTTCTGGGGATTGATGCTCCGGATTATCTTGTGCATTGTATATAAAATTCAAGTAGATAGCACTTATAGTTTTTTTAATTGTTTGTAAAAAAATCCTCCTAAAATTAGTTGAGGAGTGTAACATTCTGGAATTTGGTGGGCTAACAGTGGAAAATGTGTGGTACAATTATAGTAAGTTTCATCACAATAGCTCTAAAAATGAGGGAGAAATGAGCCCCACTTGTTCAATTACTTAACGAAAAAAGTAACGACATTTTGTTACTCTTGTGCACTCCCTGTAGCCAACCCTGATTAACCATCTGGCCACAGCTCTTTGAACCAACCAAAGTTTCAGAATACTTTTCAAAAGACGTCCCAAGTAGAGCCTATTACAGCAATCCAAAAGGATGTAACTAAGGCATGCACCACCATACCCAGATATGGTGTCTTAGGAAAAAAGCACAGTTGATACTCAGGTTTAAAATGTATAAAGGCACCCCTGATCATTGGAGAAACCTGGGCCTCCAATTTCAACCCCAAGTTCAGGAGTAACCCCAAACTGTGGTCCTGTGGCATCAGGGGGAGTGTAACCCCATCCAGCAGAGACTGGATCCTTATTCCCTGATCTGTCTTCCAGCTGATCAAGAGCATACCTGTCTTGTCTGGACTAAGTTTCAAATTGTTTGTCCCCATCCAGTCCATTACTGATGACAGACACTGATGTAGAACCAAGACAGCTTCCTTGACTTTGGGTGGAGTAATACAGTTGGGTGTCATCTGCATAGAGACTGAAAGTCCTTGCCACTTGTCTGCTGAATTCTATCTGGCATTTTATTATCAGTATGGAATACTGATAGAATCATTCCAGAAGTTCAAAGTGACATTTGTAGATAGTCCATGTTTTACAGACATACAATAGAGTTGAAAGGACACTAGCTGGAAGTCAGCTGTTATCAACAGTGCTATGAATTTGGAAGAGGCTCAAATAGATGGTGAAAGGGAGAAATGTGCAAAAAGGAAGACGTGTCAAGTAAATGCTCACTGGTACTGCCTTCCATCTAGAAATCTGTGTCCTTATTGTGAAAAACCATGTAGATTAGAATAGGTTTCTACAGTCACTTATGTGCTTATTGCCATGGAAGACATTCATACTCAGTGGCAAGTGATTGCCTATTATGATCATGGTGATATCTGGATCAGTCAAAATACAGATTTGAAAATTCAGTCTGTGCTGGATGGTGTTATACTTCCAGTTAGGGGCAGGGACGGGGGATAATATATTCAACCCTGAGCCTAGAAGCTTGGATTTCAGAATAGCCAGGAATGCAATTGCATAATTAAGATTCATGTAATAGTTGAAACCATTCCTAGGCCCCTTCTACACTGCTATATAGTTCAGATTATCAAAGTAGATAATCCAGATTATCAAAGCAGATAATCCAGATTATTTTATATGAACTCGATTACATGAGTCTACACTGCCATATAATCCAGTTCAAATCAGATAATCTGGTTTTTATATGGCAGTTTGGACGGGGGTGTTGTAGTTCAGCGTGTTGGTAGCGTTGCTACTCCTGGTAGCAGGGAGAAAAGGTCTGCTCAGGAGTCGGAGTGTGAACAGCAGCATAAGCGCATTAGGGAAATCATTATGGCCCCAAGTGATACTGACACGTTTCAAGGCTTCTCTGATTGCGAAATGGGGGATGGGGAAGAGAGCAGAGGTGTAAAGAGGGCTGCTTGCGATCCGGAGTCTGAAAGGGAATTGCAGAGAAAGCGCATCCAGGAAATACTTAGTGCGCCAACAGAGGATGAGGATTTCCTGGGGTTTGAAAGGAGTTCTGGGTCTGGGAGTGATATGGAAGAGGAGGGATTGGATTGGATCCGTGTTCAACAAATAAGGGACATTTGTAACCAACCCACCTCCAGTGAGGAATTTGAGGGGTTCACTGAGGATTGACAGCCAGGGACCTCTTGGCAGGATCTAAGTCTTAGCAGATGTTGGCAGAGGTGGAGGGATGGACGCTCAGATTTAGCTGCAGGGTTGGGGGCAACTGAGAGCGATGAAGAAAGGGTGGGGAGCTCATCAAGCTCTGATGAAGAACTTTGAGATAAAAGTGGGTTCTGTTTACATGATACTTTGCAAAAGGCAAAGCGTCTTTATTGCACATAACTCTTTCTACTGCCAACTCTTGAATTTGGGTCCTTGGGCTACAGCTTCGTGTGTTCCTGAATTCCTGTTCCTCGGTGATTCCTGCATTCCAGCATTTGTTTACCAACGGCTTGACTAAGAACCAGTTTGACTATCGTTTTTGGCTTTCTGGACTTTAAACTTTTATAACTTTGTGTTTGAACAACTCCTCATTTTGGGACTTTGTTTTTCCATTTTCTGTGACTGTGTTTTTGTGCTGTGCCAATTTTCAAGTGAATTGCTTAACTTTGAGTTTAATCTGGATTATAAGGCAGCACTATAATCTGGGTTAGATTTTTGTTACTGGTATCGCTTTGTTTTTGATGCCAAATTACTACTGGGACTCTTTGCACTGAAGTTAAGTGCTTTGAAAGACTATTTTTGTACAATAAAGCTGTGTTTGAACTCTTATCTTGTGTTTGGCTCTAATTAAGGCTTCTGGGTCCTAACAGGGGGCCTAGAGAGGTTTGAAGTGAGCACAGAGACATCTCTTTTGGATTATTGTGACTGAATTCATGGGACTAAATTTGCTCTGAAACTTCAATAGGTAAAACGAATTGAGATATTTTTAACTGTGACTGGCTAAAAGGAGCAATTCAAATGTTGATCTATATCACTCAGGTCCAAGACTGTCTGCCTCTGTTTTGAGAGCTTTTCAAGGAAGCCTTTTCAGTGGTTGCTTTCAAGCCTTGGAACTTCTTTCCAAGAGATGTTAGGTCCCATCTACACTGCCAGATAAAATCCAGATTATTTGCTTTGAATTGGATTATACGGCATTGTAGAAGGGGCCTTATACTGTTCTTACTACTCATCCATAAATAGCCTTTACTAAAGCTCAATCCTTGGCATGTTGTTAAGTTCAGGGATATGATGAAGCCTAGGGATTTGCACCAAATATTATAGGCCACCTGTAGCCATGGGCTAAAGTTTCACAACTCCTGGTCTAAAGGCACACTGAATCCTAACCATTGAACTGCATTGTCTGCAGGATAAACATTTCTGAATCTAACAACTTTTGGATTCTAGGATCTTCCAAGTAAAACCACTCTGGGGTTTAGTATGAATTTTAAATGAGAAATCCATGATATTGGATTCTGTCTATAAAATTTCTTTAGCATAGTTTCTTGTCTAGATTGAGGGTAAGATCAACAAAATAGATTAATTAAACCACTAATATGGAAGCAATCAACCATCACTCAATTTTCAATTGAATTGATTCATTATCCTTCTTGGGAAGCCCAGTGGATGCTGAGATCTGCTTTGGAACATTGAGGTAACCCTGGAACAGATTAAGGCGGACATGTCACCTGCATAGAGAAAGGAGCAGTCCTGTATGAGAAGCAGGCTGGAGAAACTGCAGAGAGGGTTTTATAATGAAAACCAATCAATCAAGCACAACAATAACAACAAAAACCCCATTACCTCTATTGTTAGAGGCTCTCCATTTTTCAGCCACCTGTAGGATGGCTTCGGTTTGCCACTTGCCCTGCATTCCCAGTATAGGTTGTCTTCTACTGCGGCTTCAAAATCCTTTATCAATTGAACCCAGTGAGGTTTTGCTTTGAAAGAAAACAAAAGGAAAACAAAAGGCTTAAGAAAGGGCAGACTTGTTTTCATGCTAGGAAAGATTGAAACAAGTTAGCAGAGCAATTGACTGTAAATGCAAAAAAAAAATGTACTGGGCACAAAGCTGTTCCTTAAATGATACATTAATGTCACATTGTAGTCACTCGAGCCTGTTAACACGACTAGTGTTATGGTGGGTGGGTAGGTGCTAATTTTGATGTCATGGCCCGCTGATACATAAGCGGTCAAGAGGAAAGGTTCTATAAAAAGAGCGAGCAGCTATGAATTCCCCTCAACCTCCACAATAATTTCTTGCCTCTTCAATTTATCAAGCTTAGGATACTTTTAAGATATTCTGGCAGAGGATGGGCTGAAGGCTCTGACAATTTGTTCTACACACAAAGTGCTACTGTAAAGAATAGAAATTAGCAAGTCAATGCTCTTCTCCTGCTATGTTGTTAGCTATCATTTTAGGACTCATGCCTACATAAAATAATTGCAGTGCACATCCAATAATGGGGTCACAGTGATACTTACAGAAAGAAAAGCTAGCAGAAACAACATTGTGACATTACCTCTGGCCATTCTTGTTATACATCACTAAGCAATAGCATACCTCTCTTTATTACCTAAGTGCAGAAGGCATGAACCAATATATCATGATGGTCAAATTTCCCATAATATGGCCCTGTTAGGACATTATAACACATAAACAGAATACCAGAAAGAGGTCATAGTGTACTGCAAGAAGAAGAAAAATGAATGGCTTCCCAGGAGAAAAACAGAAGCTAGTTTTTGCAACAGAAATGGAAATCAAATAACTATACATTTATTTAAATTATCAATTAAATACTACAATAGATGTCCTGTCTAGAAAAGCCCTCAGTTGACATGAAGGCAGTCTTGGCTGATGTGAACAAGATTTTCAGTAATTGAATTGTGATTAAACATCTAAACTGTTCTTTGCTCTCTGAGTCTTAGGGCACATCTACACTGTAGAATTAAGGCAGTTTGACATCACTTTAACTGCTATGAGTCATTCTCAATTGGCACTATCTCTCACAGTGTTTTTACACAAGGAGAAGCCTTTCTATGCAGCCAACCTTTGGTCTACCTTTAAAAAAAACTCTAAATTTTCCATTGTATCCATTGCATTTGTGTTTGTTTTTTATTATATGGTTAGGATATTTGTGGCATTTTTTTACACTCTCAGTAATGCATAATTAGAAGGGGAGAATATAAAGCTTTGTATAAAATATGATAAATGAAATCGTTGGGTCGGAGAGGTATAGCTTGGACATACCTCTTGCCATCTATTCAACCAAAGTGGATTTTGGTAAGTCAGTAGAAATGCACAGACTTTGCCTAAGCCCTGTGTATGGCCTTTTCTTTCTCATCCTTTCCCTTTGGGTAGCCAAGAATTGAAATCAGGTTGTATTTGATATTTTGATTTTCCTCTCTCCCTGGCTTGAAAGTGCTATGGCTCTTAATGAGTAGTGACCTCCATGTTTACTAGGCTTTGGGTACAGGCTTAGTCCAGGTTTACTTTGATTCCAATGAACAGCATCGACATTTTCAACACCCATGCATCCAGAATCTCACTGCACAGAGGAAATGGCTTTTCCAAACAAGAGTTGATACATGAACACGAGCAAATTTCATTACAATGTTGACAGTGATTTCCACTCTGCCAACCTGTAGTATCTTGGGTCCAATCTTGGGTCCAATCCAGGCCCGTAGCCAGGATTTTGTTTCGGGGGGGGGGAGGGGGCTGAGTTTGGTTCGGGGGGGGGCTGAGTCTGAGTGAAAGAGGGTCTACCCTAGCAAACCTTTTGTATCGTTACCCCAATACCCCCATGCATATGGGATATATTGAACATGGTGATCAGATCATGATATGAATAAACATAACAGTTTAAATAATGTACCAGTAAGGCCTTCTCACGGACCACCCTGAGAATTTCGGGGGGAGGGGGCTGAATCAAGCCCCCCCCTCCCCCACGGCTACATGCCTGACGCTGCTATTCCTTGTTACTGAATGAATTATTTATTTATTTATTTATTTATTTAGAGTTTTTGTATAACAAGTGCATTAAAATACAATCATAAACATTACACAGGCCAGATCGTCAGGTGAAATCACAATTCGTTGCCATCCTTCCGTGTGAACGGAGTCATTGCCTCAGTCATTGAATGCCATATTCCAAAGCCAGGTTTTTACTTGTTTTCTAAATGATAGGAGGGAAGGGGCAGATCTAATCTCTAGTGGGAGGGAGTTCCAGAGCCGAGGGGCCACCACCGAGAAGGCCCTGTCCATGAAGGTTGATTATTTGAGATTCTTGTGTGTTAGAAAGGAATTGTTTAAAGTTATGCTTATATTTTGCTTTTATGGAGAACTTCCTGAATGATGTTCTTCCCTTTTTGTCACATCCCAGCCCCCCCCCCCAACTTGGAGTTGTTAGGGCCCTGAAGGTTGTAGACTCTGCCTAGTTAAAATTTTACTACACCAGCAGATTTTTTTTTGCGAGTATAGCATTTTGTTCTATGCATACAAAAGATTCAGTAGTCCTGCCCAGTAGGCATAACTCCATAGCTCACAGATAGTACTGCTTTGGTAAATGTCTATAATTCTCATAACTCCTTTCTGGTTAGCTAATTTTTTGAATGCTGGGAAATACAGGCAACCCCTACCTGAATTTGACTTCCCTGGTCCAGTCTAAGGTGTCCTTAATTTAACTTTAATGTTAATCGTGCACCTTTTTAATCCCATAATTTCTTCTTCTGTGTCATCTTCCTGTTCTAATAGTAGCAGCCAGCAGAAGAATATACCTCACAGGTCAGTAAAGATTTTTCATTTTATCTCCATGTCTTATTAACGATATTGCTTGGGAACTCTCTAGTAGGTGAAGATTAACTACATATCTTCCATCACATCCCAAAGAGTTAAATAAACCATTAAAGCACTGCAATTATGCTTCAAGGTGATGAAGTATGACATTTATACATTTGCAATTAATACTTTGGGGAAGAAAATATTTTGTGTGGATAGTTAGCTCTGTCTTGTAAAAAAAAGAACTCTTAATATTTTTTTAATAATTTTTATTATGTGTTTTTCTTAATTACATAAACAGTGAAAAAGGAAAAAAACAAAAACAAAACATAAAATAGAAAGACATACAAAAAAAAGAACAAAACTGTGACGTCCCTTCCCCCCCCCCCCCCCGCACCACCCTTCCTTTCCCGTGTTGTGACTTCCCATCGTCTTCAAAGAGTTTATATATGTTTGGTGTTTTATATATATCTCTGTGATTTCCGGCGTTTCTTCGGTATTCGGAGTTTCTTCAAATGCTGGATATGTCTATCATGATTTTCATCTTCCTTTTGGCAGTAATGAAATTTTTAAAACCCTCCCAGTTTGTCTTTTTTGATTCATTATTCAGACGTTGTGATAAGCTGTCTATCTGTATTATGTCAAATATTTTTATGATCCAATCCTCCATTGTCGGAGTACCTTTCTGTTTCCAGATTTTGGCTAGAATTATTCTGGCTGCTGTGCTTAACAAAAAAAATATCCTCTCTTGATTTATGTTAAATTTGTTGTTTGAGATACCAAGAAGGTACATTTCAGGTAGTAGTGGAAAGTTTACTTTTAGGATTTTTTGCATTGCTGAATGTATTTCTCTCCAGTATTTTTTAATTTTTTTGCAAGACCACCATTGGTGGAAGTACGTTCCTTTTTCCTTTAGACATTTCCAACATTTGTTTGAAGTGGATTTATTAAATTTGGAAATTTTTTCTGGACAATAATGCCATCTATAAAACATTTTGTACCAGTTTTCAATCAGATCGTTGGAGACTGTATACTTTAATTTCCTATTCCAAATTTCTTCCCATTGTTTCAATAGGATACTATGTCCTATGTCTTTTGCCCATTTTATCTGGCATTCTTTAATTTGTTCATCTTCCGTTTCCCAGCATAGAAGTTGTTTATATAATAGTTTAATTAGGTTCCTTTCTTTTTGCATTATTACTTCCCAAATCCCTTTTTCCTGGCAAAAGCCCTCCTTTCCATCTATTCTGTAGCTTTCATATAATTGATGGTATTGTAACCATGTAAAATTAGGTTTTATTTGTTTTATTTCCTCTATTGACTTAATGGTTAGTTTTCTTTCTTCCGTGACTTTTAAAATTTGTTTATATGTTAGCCAATTTTCGGGTCCCAGTTGTCTTTTATGCCTCGCCTCTATTGGGGAGATCCAGATTGGTATTTTATTGTATAGCCTTGGTTTATATTTTTCCCAAGTTTTGATTATCGCCGTTCTTATATAGTGATTATTAAAGCTCTTTTCTATCTTTCTTTTTTCATACCATATGTACCCGTGCCACCCAAATCTGAGATCAAACCCCTCCAAGGCTAACAGTTCTTGATTTTTTAGTGTGGCCCATTCCTTAAAGCTTACAAGGTTGCACGCTTCATAATAAGCCTTGAAATTTGGCAGTCCCAGTCCACCTCTCTTTTTTTCATCTGTCAAAATTTTATAGCTCACTCTAGCTTTCTTATTCTTCCATACAAATTTGATTATATCCGTTTTCCATTTTCTAAAGAGATGATCATTTCTTATTACTGGTAGAGTTTGGAATAAAAAGAGCAGTTTGGGTAATATATTCATTTTTACTGTGGCGATTCTGCCTAGCAGAGAGAGATTTTGGTATTTCCATCTATCTATATCTTTTTTTACGGACTTCCACAGGATTTCGTAATTATTCTTTAATAGATTAGTATTGTTTGGCGTTATGTTCACCCCCAGGTACTTTATTTTGCTTTCAATTTTTAAGCCTGATTTTTCCTGTAGTAATGTTTTGGATTTTTTATCCATATTTTTCACTAACATTTTGGTTTTTTGTTTGTTTAGTTTAAAGCCAGCTAGGTTTCCAAATGTTTCAATTTTCTTTATCCAATTGTTTATATATATTAAAGGATCTTCCACAATAC